AATAAAACATGGGTTTGATTTTTCAAAAGTGCAAAGAAAAATTTTATTGACAAAAACATGTAAATAATTTGAGAGGAAAAATGTACATATGAATTGCATGTTCTTTAAACAGCGTAAGTTTACATATGTTCGATTACATACATATAATGATAAAAAACACTATTGGAAGTGAATGATGAGAGCAGCTAATCAATTGCATTCATTCTGGTCAGACGGCATCAAAAATAATTCAACATACAATAACGATGAGTAAATTCAAGCCGATATTTCATACTCTTTTTATGCCTACGACATGTGAATGCACCTGTCACCAACCCGCAACTTATTTCTCGGCCCAATAAGACTAGATTCTATCACAACATTAAACCAACTTTTAGGCTATCAAATTTTTCAAAACTTCTTCGTAGAGAAACTCGATTCCTTCATATTTGTAATTCTCGGGAATTCTCGTCTCGTCGAGAATAACATTGCCTGTGATAGAGAAGACCATAATATACGATGAAAGAGGTTTCCCGTCAACTTCTTCGGTCTTCAAAGCGACAATGATACTATCATCAGTACCTGAAAACATCTAGCATATTGAGGGTCTCTGAGTGAATTCCAATTGAAGTGAGGTGAAAAAGGCTATTGGAAAATTGCACTGAATCTACAAGTCGCAAGTATAAGAACCAAAAGAAATTTGAAGAAAACATGGATATCAATGCAAAATTGAAATATCTGCGGCTTAATCGTTGTTTTATGAAGATTCAAGACGAACTTGAGTTGATAAATGTTCTACTAAATTTCAGAAGTTTCATCCTTAAAAAAGCGCATATATTGTGGATTCAAGATAAAAGTTCAATTCTTATAGTGGAGCCTTGTGGGGTTTTTACAAGTAAATCATATAGACAGACTTTCTAAGGAATTTCAAACTAAGCAAAGCTTACCAGGAACAAACTGAAAAGCACTGAATCCCCTGGTAGCGACTTCTTGGCCAATTGATACAGCATTTATTTCTTTCATATCATCACTTGCAATCAGTAGGACATTCGTTCCTGCAAATATCTTATTTCCTCCTTACTATAAATATCAGTTTTCATCTATCTACTCAAATGCATAGCATGCATAGCTTTCAAAACTAATAGCGCAACTAGAAAATGTAAAGTACCCATTTTCTGTGCAGTTTCATCATTATAAGCATATTTTGAAAGGTGTCGCGGAAGGAAGAACCATTTCTGTAAGAAAAGATAATTTAACACAAAATTTCATCGAAATTGTACACAATGATCCTTCGTTGTTCACTTTATGTAGATCAGACCACTGGACTGCTTCGTGGATTATGTATCCTGGGAAATGAATGTCTATTGCTGCTCTTAATGTTATGTAACGTTGAACCCAGTCTTCGACTTCAACGCCTCCTTCAGGGGAGATCCTCTGAAATAAGAAAGATTTGTACTGGTATAGTCACGGACATGCAAAATAATGTGGCGCACCTTTACGTACATGGGATTATCATTCACGTATTCTCCGGTCGGTGTAGTCCATTCTTTTCCATTGCTGCCACAATATAAATTGCCATCCTTCACAGTAAACCATTCTCCTTTGAAAACTGAAACAAAGATCCTTTTTGTATAAAAGTTGTTTACAATTTCTTGCTTACATCCTTCTACAGTGCTATCTCCTTGTGAAAGAATGGCCCACGGGATTGCCTTCTTTCCGTCCAGCCTTAAACGTATATATTTCCAAATAATTTTACAAACCCTTGCAAAACAGTTTCTAAAAAGCTCATTTCTACCACATTATCAATTTATTTCACAAATTTTATCAGCTATAAATTGACATAATTAAGAAAAAATAAAAGACTTGGATGTAACAATATGAGCGAATTTACCGAAACTAGAAAGGAGGAAGGGCCTACCTGAAAATAACTCCAGTCTTGTCATCTACAGCCAAAAGTTTACCATTATAGTATTTCAAATCGCTCAGTTCCATTCCTCTACCATCATAATTGAGCTTTGTCGTGTAATTATGAGCTGAAGTCCAGTGTATAAAGGCTGTCGACTTGTTCTAAAACATCAAATTTTACCAAAGAATTTATGGTAAATTAAAGTAGACACAGTCTATGGTTTACATGATTTCATATTGGTTGTCCAAAACGTTTTGCGCGTTGGCCATAGTAGTTTTTCACAGTGAACAAACCCTTACAACGGAAATTTCAGGTTTCCCTTGTACTGCTTATTTGCGGATTAGCATTTATGACAAATTTCCAGGAATTCGAACACAGAGCATGAAGATGAATTTAGGCGATCCAATTTTATGTTAGCCTATGAGGGCAGCTGAGGATGCGATAGTTTTATTGTAATTAACTCTGCAACTGTTCACAAATGCTCTACATATTGACGGTTCAAACATTTTTGTGGTGACGTCAGAGGTTTAAAGACGAGAATGGCTTTTTGCGAATTAGCCTTAACAGCGATCAACTCAGGTGATGGCTAAACGCTTATGGAGGTAGCATTGAGTCATGAGCTCTTTAGCTATTATTATGCTTGAGACAGAATTGAGTAAAGGGCGAATTCTTTTTTGTATGGTCGTTTACGTGGCTGCAAAGTACTACAAATTTTCTGCACGACTATTTCAAAATGGGATAGGCTAATTAGCCCCGCTTCCTCCGCTATACTAACAGGTCTCTTGTCAATTAAGAGTCAGTATT